TAAGGCTTACTATTCCTCGCAAAGAAGAAAAAATCCCCTTAGATCCGCCAACCTTTTCGTTCATTGGCCGTTACGACCGTACCCATGCTTTAATATTAGGCAGAAACTTCACAATGTAATTATTGAGCAGGTTTGTTTTGGAGTTAAAGGGGGGAAAAACGTATAAGTGAAATCGTATAAGTGAAAAACGTATAAGTCAAAGTGAAATCGCTTCAAAATCCAATTTTTGTTTGAGTAAGTCAGTATGTCACTGAGTCTTTGCGAAGGAGGGGGAGGGGAAGGTGGCACTTGGCTTGGAGCTTTCCTGTCCAGAGCTATGAAAGGAACCTTGGTCAAGGTTCATTTATCCCTGTTAGCGACGTCTTTAGGGCGACCTTGAGACGTTGTAAGGTATTTCAAAGGGGAAAGAGGTGATGGTATTCCCCAATTGACTTTAGTTTGTCTTCTGGTGGAGAAACAGTAAATCATGAAATATTTCAGAACTTCTGGTATTGCACAGAAAGTGGATGTCTGAACGTTTAATAGAAATGTTGTCACACATCACGGATTGATTCAATCTTTTAAACAGATGCATAGACAGTGTCCCCCCTTCGGCGTGTGGTCTTAAGGACTGGGTATCTACTGCATCTGTCAAATGAGAAAAAAAAAATGTTAAGCTTTTGAGCAGTAGACACACGTGAAGAGTTCCTTTGAGAATCACTTGAGAAACAGAAAGGATGTAACCTTCATAAGAAAATTGACGATTCAACATTTTAGAAATAGGGTGTTTTGTCTCCAGTGTATGTAATTTCCAGACAAACCTTTCCGGGTGGGATGTACAATTTTTTCTTCATTTTTTGGGAATTTAATAAGGTTTCTGGTACCCCTCAGAATATGTGTTCCTCTGGATATTTATCGAACTATAATGGTTGAGGATTCACTTAAAAAAAAAAGAGACATAAGTCCTGCTGCCACTGAAAGCCCAACTTAAAAAGGCCACTCAGAACGTGTCAGTGGCACAGATGTGTGCATTTTAAATATATGCACCTACCTGCTGCCGCTCAATATAGATTCGAGTGGCTAAATTCTCTAGTCGCACTATATTCAGGAGGCTAAAAGATAGAAAATTCTT